CGCGTATGATTTCAGACCAAATTGCACTCCACTCAGTTCAATTACCATTATGAATATTATATGTAACTGACTAGGGAAAAACCTTAACACTGCATGTAATGTAGCAACTACAGTATCATGGATGATTTTTTTTTAATTACAGTAACATCACTTTAAGGTACAAGTACCATAACTAACTTCAACTGGTCTGTTTTAGGAATAAATTGCTCAGATTCAATCATCTCTACTCACATACATGTAAAAGATATAAAGAGACTCTTAAATGCCTTTTCCATTGACATGTTCATTTACAGTACAATTTCAGTTGTCATACAATAATCCCACGTACATACAATTAGGTCTTCACCTTAATTCCTACAACACAACTTCCTCGCCCCAAACCAGTGGACTATTTAAGGACATTCACGTGAAAATGTTCTACTTGATAGAATTTCTTCAAACTTCTAATGCGTACAGATAAGGAATTACTTGTTTCAGAAATGAAAATAAATTGGGGATCACGGACTAGTCTGATTTTGAAAAATTGGCACGCAAATCAGCATGGTTTCCAGGGTTTTTAGCTTAAAATATCAAAGAAGAAACAATGGAGGCAAACTATCCTAGTAATATTTTGCATAAGTAAATCTGTTGCGTTAATAATTCCAACATTTTCACAAACTTAACCCTTCAAGAGGCATTTGAAACTGCCACACAGATAAATGAAGAGCTAAAAAGAATGTAATTCGATGGTGCATTTTGCAAAAATTCAAACTTCTAATTGATGGAATTTCTTCATTTTTTCGCTAAACATAGCAAATCAGTAGAGAAAATGATCCATCAAAAGGAAAATAGGGGTCAACCAATGTCAAGGATAGTTAAATCCAGGCAAAGCTATAGCAATGGCTATCTGCCCTGTCACTGCTTATTTTATTACTTAGCACGCACTTGATGCATGACATGGCATGAGAATTTGCGTGCGCAGTAAGGATGCCCAGAAACAATTAGCGTGAATGTCCTTAAGCAATAGACTGCTCTTTATATGGGTTTACAAGTTCAATAAACGCATAGAAAGAGCGGTCTCCTGTTATTATAAAATAGCTAGATGGAAAAAAGTTTGCAAAAAGAGGAATCTTCATTGAACTTTTGTGATCAAGTTATTTATTCTCTGCCAATTCATAAGATGACATGGCAAACCAATCACAGTGGCTGAATGAAAGCACAGACTCTGCTCCACACACACAGATCAAGAAAGTGACAAAGACTTTTAGTGCAATAACAGTTTTAACAAAGGGAAGGAAAAGGCTATGGGTGAAAGGCAGAAAAAGTTTTAATTAACACCATCAGAAAACCCTCTGATCAAAATGTTTATACGCTTTTAAAAGTAGAAGTGACTGTGAAAGTGATGTGATTTGATTAAAGAGNATGTCCTTAAGCAATAGACTGCTCTTTATATGGGTTTACAAGTTCAATAAACGCATAGAAAGAGCGGTCTATTGCTATTATGAAATAGCTAGATGGAAAAAAGTTTGCAAAAAGAGGAATCTTCATTGAACTTCTGTCATCAAGTTATTTATTCTCTGCAAATTCATAAGATGACATGGCAAACCAATCACAGTGGCTGAATGAAAGCACAGACTCAGCTCCACACACACGGATCAAGAAAGTGACAAAGACTTTTAGTACAATAACAGTTTTAACCAAGGGAAGGAAAAGGCTATGGGTGAAAGGCAGAAAAAGTTTTAATTACCACCATCAGAAAACCCTCTGATCAAAATGTTTATACACTTTTAAAAGTAGAACTGACTGCGAAAGTGATGTGATTTGATTAAAGAGAGGTCAAAGAAAATACATGTACATTGAACATGATTATTTTCTACTTACGCATTAGGGCAAATAGATTTCACATGGGCCATTTTGATCTCCTCAAAACTTGCACTCCAGCCATGTCTAACAGGGAAATGAACGTAGTTCCAAAATATATATTTAAACCTATCCTTTCAAAGTTGCTCATCCAAAGTGATGGCTAAATTTCATGTTAAAGAAAGAAGACATTTTTCGTGGGGAAAACATGTTTTGAATGGTATCCATCACTAGCTTATGAACTTTTTCAACAGGGGTTTCATTCATGTTTTCAACAGGCGGGCAACTGGTTTTCACAGGTGGGTAGAAGTATTTGTCAAAATGAACTGAACTTCTAAATAATAGTAAGAAAAACTTCCTCTAGATGGTCAAACCAGGCGGGCAAAATCATCCTTACAAATGGTCAGTATACCAATTTCGATATATTAAAATTCAGCCTAAAACAATAGACCAGTATGAGGCTCTGAGGAATAACTACAGAGTTTGGGGGGTTTATTTCCCAGAGCCTCATGCTGAGGTCTATTGTGTTAGGCTGAATTGTAATATATCGAAATTGCTCTATTTGCCCAGTGCCTGGCACTTGTTTCAGGTGCAAAGTACAGTATACATAAAGTTTATTGTGTTTACTCTTATTCAGATCCATGGAGTTATGACAGCTACTAGGAATGTAAACATGTTTTCCAAATTACAAAAATGTGGCCATCTTTCTTTAATTACTTAACGTTAAACTACAGTTTGCTATGTTTCATGAGATGCAAATCATCCACAACAGAATGGAGACTTCAGAAACCTCCATCTCAGCCATGTTGAAAATTGTCTTAGCAAGCACATAAATGTTGTTCCTGTTTGTCAAACACAGAGTGCATGGAGAAAATCATGAAATTTCTTACCCTGTGTCTCCAAGACCATGAAGAAATATCAACTAGAATAAGAAAAAAATAAATAAACAGAGCCCAAATGAGTATCTTGCTCTTTAAAAATTTACATAAATAGGTTCTCTGTCTGTTCAGATTTTATTATTTTCCCAATTCAAGGCTGTAGTCTAAGAAAAATTAGGAGGAGCCCAAAGGTTCTTAACAAAGAAATCCTGAAGAAGTCAGTTTTTCTAGTCACCCAAAGACAAAAGTTAGTCGCCTGTGGCACACGGGTGCTTCTAGTAACTAGAGCACAGCCCTGCATTTGGAAGACAAGGAGTACATGGATGCTTAATATCTGCCGGAAGCAGAAGACACGACACTTACCATTAGTGATTTGAGTTTCCAGTTGTTACATATTGATAAGAGAAGGCAACTGGAGTAATAAGCAAATGGTAAAGGAAATTTCTGCCAGAGGAATACCTCTGCTAAAATCTCCAGAGTTTTTTTCATGGTGCCTTTGCATTTTTCATTCTCACCCCGCATTATAGATTGCAAGTGAAGGCCTCCCAATAGTTTTGGGGACAACAACAAGCTTTATTTCTCCTTGGTCTAACAGAAATATTTTACAAAGTTACATAATAACAGAGGTAGATGCCTGGCTACCTAAAATAAGGGAACAAGCGAACACGATCATCTATTTCAAGAGAGCGAGAGAAGAGTTTTGGACTAATTTTCAGGGAACAAAAGATATTTCAATTATTTAAAGGACCTTTGATTCATGAAACCGTTTCAGAAACAATCAAAAAAGGGAAACAATGGAGAAAATGCAAAAGACCTCAGGGATTGACAGTTAGGAGGCCCTCGGAAACCCATACATCATGCTTACTGTACCAACATAAAAACATTAAGTACAATGTAAATCAACTTAATTAAGTGAAAAAAGCTTTATGGTCAGGTCTACCTTTATGATAAAATATTCACATAAAGCCTAAAATTATGTGAACTGATATAATTAGTTGACAATTCACATTCATCACAGAAGCTTATAAATCTTCAGCACAGCTGTTTCATTTTGTCTCAATTTTAATTTTCTGGAGGAACCTGCCAACATTTTGAAAATAATTATATTCATTGTCTTTTCTCTATTTTGACCTGATAAATTCATTTAAGTTATGCCAGTGCTCGTATAATTGATTATAAAACTTGTTCACACCTATTCAAAAGCAATCTGAATCATCCTGAAGTCAAAGCAAGATATTGGATATACACAGCTGGCGAAGGAGGGGCGATAAATTGTTTTTGGTCAACATACATTTGTACATGGAAAGTGTAGTTGATTTTTTCCATTTGGCTATGCCTGGCTTTTACACTTGAATTAAAATATTATTTTATCGCATAGATTTTCAAATTTGAGGATTTGTAGCTCCGGCAGAAGTTTTTTAAACCAACAGACCTTATTAAAAAGCGACGTTGCCTCGATGTTCTTGCGTGAGCTAGTAAATTTTTCATCACTTGGGATATAAAATCACACTTTCAATTCCGGCCGATATAATTTGACGACTTTCAACGCTTATAAAAGCCATAACATGCTGGTAGAAAAATTAAGCAAAACCGTAAAAATGTTCATAAGATCTTATAATGAGCTCCTAAACAGTTTTCATAAGCATCCCTACAAGTAGGCATTAATTTTGCACATCAGGCTTGTAGAGACACATTTGACTTTGTATCACTCACCGACGCCGTATGTTTAGCTGTAGCTTTGACAACAACCGACATCTCATTGCCTCCAACACCAGATAACAAGAGGAAGCCGTACACAAGAACGAAGAAGGAAAAAATGCTAAATTTGCATGTAAACATTCACGTTATAGAAAACCGCCACGAACAGAACGAAAACACGGCTGCGCCGGTGTGAATCACGTTTGACGATACCTGCGCACAATGACACAAACAAAACCGCTATGTTGATTGATTGGATTGCAGCTTCAGAAATCAAGATGGCGTCCTCGAACGCGGGGAACAGCGTGGAAAAGCAGAACAAGAGTCGAAAAAGAAAAAGAAATAGCGATATTCCAGGTTTTGCACCAAGTAGTTCCTCCACACCTGTGATAACCTCTCAAGCACCGAGAGCAATTAACGCAGAGCAGTTCGCTTCAGCTCGTGCAGTGGAGATAAAGAACATGGTGACTGCGATCGAAGAAGCTGATAAATCAAAAGGAAAGCGTGTGTTTCAAACGCTTCCAAGGCACATGAGAAGAAGAGCAATGAGTCATAATGTCAAACGAATGCCTGTCCGTCTCAGGCAGCGTGCTTCTTACGAGGTATGTGTGAAAGATTTCTGTTATAGGAGAACTGGAGGATCACACGTGGTCGCGACTGGACCATTGGCGGGCCATTGGTCCTGGGCGGTGGGTGGGGAAGAGGGTTACTCTTAGAAAAATTGGGTGGGGGTGTGCGGCCCGCTTCCGAAACCCTCACCCTATTTTTGCCCAAAATCTGTGACTTTCCCTACCCTATTAATGATCCGACCAAAAATTTTGATAACCTATCTATGACCTGTTTCAGACCTGCCTTTTTAATTAGTTACCTAGTTTAGACCGATGTTAAAGGCATTGTGAAGGGCTTTCGCTGATCGTTTATTGATAATGATGAAAAAGTAGCTTCTTCTAAAAACATATCCAATTCAATTCTAGAGTGCAAAAAACACCCTATTTATGACCAAAATGGCTGAAAAACCATACCCTTTGGGGCCACACATCCCTATATAGTCCATGTAAGGGAGTACCCCCAGGGGTATTCACCATGGGCTTCCAAGATCTTCAACCCCTCCCCAGTTTTACACCCCTACATTGGACGTTGGATAGGACGGAAAATAATATTGAAGCCAAATTCCAGTTCAGCTTCATACTTTTCAAAAAAAAAAAAAATCTGGCTTTTGAGAAACCCCTCCCCCCTCCCCCCTCCTCCTCCCTGCTAGGAATCCATGAAGTAGGTACAGGTGTGAATATATTTTGTGGAACACTTCACTCCTGTAAAGTAAGAGTAGGAATGTGACCAGGGAGTACTCCATGATATAGGCTATGGAGCCATGTGCAGCAACAACAAGTTTGTTTTTTCAGCCATTTTGGTCTGAAATGGGGTATAGTTTTTGCACTCAGGTCTTGAACTGGGTATGCTTGGTATGAGTGGGTTATGTTTTTAGAATGGTCAGATCTGAAAATAGAGACCTGTATAAAATTTTGGGTCCAGTCTGAAACAGTGTAGGAAAAATCACAAATTTTGGTTTGAAATAGGGTAAGGGTTTGAAGGGTTTACCACAATCTGCTACCCAATTTTTCTGGAAGAACCTCCCCTTAGGGAAATGTGTAGTACATGGGTACATTTAGTTTGTTTTCCATCAAAAATGACAGATAGGTCACCCTTAACTTGTTTGTACTTAACTTTGCTTTTCTGTTAGCAAATCCAATCCAGTTGGAAGAAAAGGGAAAATTTCAATTCTTTGTGTTTTATTTGTGTATCACTAGTTTGCAATTGGTGTTGGTTGTGTTTGCACTGTCATTTGTTTCTAATCATCCTATCCTTATTCAAATCTGTAAGTAAAATTAAATGTATTTTTATAATTGTTTCTTCCCATTTAGATGCATAATCCAGCAAACAGACCTGAAACACTCAAGAAGAAAAGTAGGCGTCATCGCCGTCAACCCAAAAACTTGCTTGAGGAGTACACTCGCCGACAACGAAAGCATGTCTGGCTTGAGACACACATTTGGCATGCAAAAAGAATGAAGATGATTGATGCATGGGGCTACAGGCTGGCTGATCACCCCAATGATAAAGGCTTTAGAGCGGCATACAGGGCTGTCAAGAACAACTGCATCTTACAGGTATACACTGAGAACTTGGTGTATAGACGCTCTCGCATCTCAGGCCTTGTTTTTCCAAATTGTTAGTGCTTGCTAGTATTAAAATTGAGGATATATTTCTAAGTTTCTTTTACCTCTTTCTGCTAGGACATGTCGTATTATGGGTGCATTGAAGTATGTGGCACTCAGAGTAAGATTATACAAGCTATGAGTCACTTGACCAGTCAAGAAGCAGGTTTGTTGAGAAGAGACTATTTGCTTACATTATAGTAAATTCAACAAATTGACGCCTGTTTTTCATGCGTCTGTCCTGTTATTGATCATGAATTTCGTCATAACAATGTCAAAGTAGCTGTGGATCCACGAGGTGATAGCCAAGTGGATCTGCAGACTGCTTTGACAATGTTATGACGAAATTCATTGTCAATAACAGGACAGATGCATTAAAAACTGACATCAATTTGTTTTTTTATGATAACAAATTGTCAAATTGTCTGCTCTCGCTCTTTGACGCATTGCCTAAATTATAAATTCATGTGTCTGTCTGCTTATTGACAATAAAAATTAGCCAATGAGCACACGAGAATTTCTGCAGTTATCCTAAAAATCAGAATGATTATGATTGTCAGAAGGAAGAATCAACTGAGCTCAAGATAACAAGCTTCAACTGTACAGTGTAATATATAATTTAAACCAATACTCACATCAGTTTTTTTCAACTTAATTCTTTTTCAGGGTTAACAATGGCTGCTAAATACTATTTGAATGGAATGCGAGAAGGGAATGTAATGCTGTACAAGTTTGATCAGTTCCCTCTCGGAGCAATCAGCCCTGTATCTTTTCTCTGGAGACAAATAAGAAGTAAAACAGAAACTACAACTACCACTAAGAATGTGCAATATTCTGACAGGCAGGGGTCTGAACAGCAAAGTGTTGAGATTGATGTTACAACCCAGGACCATACTTCGGTCGAAGCAGGCTGCAGAATACTTGAAAAGGAAGCAAACTCTCAACTCTGGGTCTGGTCTCATCCTGCAAGTTTCGATTCAGTTTTTGATGCAATAACTGAAGCCTGTAAGTCTGTCGGGAGGACATCAATTGAAAGAGACAGCAAAGTTTCTGATGTTGTAGACAAGGATTCTGTTGTAAACACAGACCGTCCTGGCGAAGGAACTGATAGTACTCAACTGGTAAATGGTGTGGATCAGTCAGAGTTAAAGGTGACCTCTCTTCGACATGACTTACTCAGATTGCGTCTCACAGGACCTCAGTCACATGTTTTACTTACAAGCACTTTAAAGCTCTCTACTGATTTAAAACACAAACATAGCAAAAACAAAAGCAGCATGCATGTATTTACTTCACACAAAGCATCAACAAGTGCCGTCAATGACGAAGGTGTGAACAACAGTTCTTCAAAATGGTGGCAAAAGGCATTGGACGACCCAAGCGATTCACTGGCACAGAGTGCATTATGGGATAAATTAAAGAAAGCCAGCTCGCCAGCAGTCCTTCCCCTAAGGTGTGTCATTGGCTTAACAGTTCTGGATCCACGCCTTTACCTCCCTGGGAAGAAAAAGAACATCACTATTAACACTGAAGAGGACAATTTTGGTAATACTGTAATAAGAGTTCCAACATTGATGTATGTGACTTGTTTGTATAACCTGATTCAGGCCCTCAACTTCCAAGTTTTGAAGTGGTTTTAAAATAGTTTTGAAGGAGAGAGTTCCCTATTTCTTTTGTGAGCTTTCGGTGATCTAAAAGAGTCTATCTATCTACCTTTCTACCTATGGTAGGTCCAAGGTGGAGTGGACCAGGGGGGTAGGGGGGTAGGGGAAAGGGCTGCCTGTCACCACCAGTTTTTGGCAAAAGAAAGAGAGCCCAAAAAGGCTGAAACTTCAGTCGGGTACTTTTTACTTTGGTTTTCCACCTTTCGTCAGTGTACAAGTCTTGATCCATCACAGCAATCAATGAACATATACGTGTCGCTAAAGTTTTGTTTTTGCAGAGCGAATTATCGTTCGAAACTTCGCGTAGTTGGAAACAATTATCGTGACTTTTCGTCGAAAATTCGCTTCCTGCGAAAAGCCGATATTTTTTCGTCCAAAAGCCCAGAAAAGCGGCGAATTTAGGCGAAATAGGTTTGCATTACTTTGGAACAATACTGTATATAGTATGGTAGGCCTTCTTACACTTTAATTTACTGAAATTATTTGCTTCACAGAAGAGTTTGACTCACGTGATGAGACTGTACCTCAATCATGTGACTTGCTGAACAGTATAGGTGAAGCTGTGAGCAAGCCTGAAAAGGACATTTCATCTTTTGAGCATGTAATAAGCAACTGGCCAACTGATGTCGCAGGCTCACATATCTGGGATCAAGCTGTCCGTCATGAAGTAAAGGAGACCAAAATGACCGAGCAGGAGCTGAACCGAAAGAGGTCTGAGCTCCTAGTGCCCAGCTCTCAGTTGAATTTAAATCCAGATGAGATTTCACATATTCCCGTGCTTCTTGTACAGCAACCAGGATGGTCGGGTTAGTTGACTTCGAACCAAAAACTTTCAAAATAATTATTTGCACTCAGAAATGAAAAGATAACAACAAGACCTAACCTTTTCAAACTGTTTCTTTGGTGTTCTAGGCAACAATGGAGGTGCTGGCGTGGGTCTTGGATACGGCAATGGCTGGGACGTTATTCTTCCCAGTGGATGGGCCATGGCATTTTGGATCGCTTTTGTGTACCGAGGGGCAAGAACTGGGGCACTACAAGAGAGTCGAACGATAGCCCTTGAACAAGGAGTGCCATTCTTTCCAAATGATTTCCCAGACACCCCTGCAGGAGAGGCACACAATAAGCAGTTGAAAGAGGATGGTGAGGCTCAATACAAGCGTTATCCACCAGCAAAAAGACCTAACTATGACAAGTTAGGTGTGAAATCTCCATTCAGTCCACCTTGGAGAGAACTTGTTAAGGACTGGAGCCCTTGCGAATCAACTTCCAGCAAAGTGTCAGATGTACCTATGGAAATTACTGATGATTCATCCGGAAATATCCCTGTTGCAAGCGAGTCGCCTCAGATGGACATCGCAGCTGTCCGGCCATTCTACGTGTTGCGGTCACGCTCTAAACTGACTTCTCTGCGGAATTGTGTTTTACGTGACAAGAAACCACGAAAGAGAGGCTACAAACATCACGTGGCGACGAGTCACGCACCTTCACCAATGGACGATTTGTCATCTGTCATGAAAAACGATCTCAATTCTCTGGTATTCGTGTCAGTGCGTATGGTCAACCGAAACGTCCCTGTACCCGACTCAGCCTTGTCGATTCCTTCAACGGAGGACAGTTCGAGACTCGCAAAATGCAAGGATGCCTCTGGACCCATAGAACCTCTGCACAAAGGTCCGCAGGCTCAGGCTGCCGAGAAGTCGTTGCTAAACTCTTGTACAAGAGAAGTCGTGGGATTTGTTTCTTCAGGACATTTCTCACTTGCTCGTGGATGTGGTTTTGGAGTTGGCTTTTGCGCTCTTCCTGGTCTTATGAAGTTGCTTTCTTCTGCGAGGAACACTGGAGAAGTCGTCGTGTTGGTGCGGGGTCCTTCGACCCAGCAGTATAGATTTGCCTATTTGACCATTTTGTGACCTTGATTCTTTCCACTACAGTGACTGTGTAACTGTTGAAATTTCTTGTCACTAGCAGTACATTTTCGGGGTCTTTTTCCAAATTTGCGACAGACATCGCTGTCTTCTAAGTAGGAGTTTTCCTGGAGCCCAGTAATCTGTCTCCACTTTCTTTTCAGCAATTTTATTGACAGAGAGAATTACATTCCACTCATGACTAAAAAGGGTAGTGTGCTGTTGTTTGTACTGCGAAAATATTTTCTCGAATTAACAAATACGAGATCAACAGTCAACTGAGCCATTCCTGGAGAAACGTCTTTAAAATAAAGAGGAAAGTTGGTATACATCATTTCCAGTTCTCCAGCTGGGAAACACGGCCTTGAAGCTTGGTATTACGCAAGCAGAAATGCAAGCAGAAATGAGTTCATGGTAGATTGACTTTCATGGAAACCCATGAGCACCACAGCAATCAAACTTGCCAGCGAACACATAACCATCTCAACGCCAACGACCATCGCCCCGCTCACAACGCTCTACAGAGTTGGGCATTGTGACGGTTGTGTGCGTTGGAACATTGTGTGGTGTCGCGCGTTATGATTGTTCTGGCCCGGGTTTTCCGAAAGGTAGATCACGCTATACTTCGGATAAATCACTATCTAATGGATAGCGTGGTTTGTTTTGTTAACATTTATCCAGTGGATAGCATTATCCAGCCTTCGACCAGCGTTCTCTACGCTGTGACCATTTTTCGGAGGTTTAGACATTGTGGTTGTAGGTGCAATGGGGGCTCTGGGTGTTGTGGTGGTTAGGTGCTGCGATTGTTGCGGTCTCTACGGCCTTTCCGTCCGCTTTGATGTTTGATGCAGTAGGCGCTGTAGATGTTGTCTTTTGTTTCATGACGACTTTGTATGGAAATGGTCGATTTCTTTGCGTTCATCGGGCGAGCTTTGTGTGGACGTTACATTGAAAGTCGTTAGACGGCTATTAAGCGTGTAAGTTGGGTTTTGCGTTGAGGCAAGACAAGATGAAGGGCAAGAGTGTTAATCCGCCATACATCTCCAGGTAATCCCTCTCATATTATTTTTAGATAAGGTATCAAGTTCTTCCGTTGATATTGATGCTACCGCGCCCGTTGTGTGGACGTTCTCTTGGATAAAACTGAAATTGCTTGTAACTTAGTCGCTTGGGCTGCCCACGTGACCAAAATCCGCGTCATAGGGTCGGGTTGGTTATTTCTAAATCCTCATGGAATTTCCGAAACTGGGACATCTAAAAATAGCGTGAAAAGCATGACCTCGGAGACAAGACCTAAACGTCTAGCGGATATGGAGGATTAACTCTCTCACCCTTTATGCTCTCATAGGAGTTGTTTTCATTGTTTTTGTTTTTTTCGGTTTGGTTGGGACGTCCGAGTTTTCGAGTTCGTGTGCAGTTCGAGTTTTGTGTAGACGCTGAGTCTTACGAGAACGTCGAGTTTTGTGTGGATGTCAAGTCAACGATGCTAAAGAGGTATTATTATTTTCATTAGCTGGATAATATTTCATAAATATTTTTTATTAATTTCAAAACGGTATATGCTAAGGTAGAGGATATTCGCCCAAATTTTTTAATGAGTTGGACTTTGAACCATTTTAATGCAAGAACGTTTTTACAGCTGAGGCGAGGAAGCATTTTAGTTAACTTGGCCGAACAATGAATTCTTTTTTCTTTCGTTCGTATAACTTGTTATCTTAAATTACAAACGTGATAAATGATAAACATAACGCAAAAAGCCGTCTTGGGTAGATAACGCAAGCGAAGAAAGGTACAATCGACATCGTCAGAAAATGAAATCGTGGAGTTCTCTCCATGTTTATCAAGTGGCTAGTTTTCTACAGTAGGGAAACCCATTGTAACCACTTTTACATCTGTTACATGCTCGACCAATCACGTTAGGTCTGCAAACACATTGTCCGCCGAATGATTGACAGCTAGTTTTAGTAGATCCCAGTCCATCGCAGTTGCATTTGACCGCGCCACTGTTAAATCGGGTTGTGATGGTAAAGGCCGATTGCAGACAGAATTTCGAAGACGAGTCTTTCAGGAAAAATGTGTACTGTCCACAGTCCTGGATAAAATCTTGAGTTACGTCGATTGGTTTTACTTCCAGAAGAGATGGCGAAAATGATGAGATAGGAACTAATAGCACATAATCCTGAAAGGAAAAAATGATGACAGTGAATTGAAGTATGTGTAAAGACTGAGGTGTTGGACTTAAAGTGAGTGAATACTATTTGCTCTCTGGGCTAACCTAAATTTGGTCTTACCAGGTTTCACGGTCGCGGTGGCCTTGTGAAAATTAGGGAAACGTGCAGCAAAATATTGTTTGTTCACAAGTTTCTGGGAATATTTCAGAACTTCAATTTTGTAATAATCATTTGACATGGGTTTTCCGTGCAGACACTGTTTCTCGTGTCATTTTGCCCTATTTTCAAAATAGCGACAGCACGTTTACTTGTTTACGTCTCTGCGGCTGCTATCATCAAGCCTACAGAATTGTCGATGTGAAAAGAAACTGGGTGACCGTGAAATCCTCTATTTAAGATTGCCGTGCGTCTGTTCAGAAATAGATCACAGATGACGTCAAAATGTGATGAGAACAAAAACAGTGGCACACGAGGCGATAGCCGAGTGTGTCACTGATGTTCTTACCGCATTTTGAGGTCATCTGTGATCTATTACTGAACAGACGCACGGCAACATGGAATCTATTTGTTTTATATAATACATGTAAAGAAACAAAAAAAAAATGTTAATGACGTCATCTATGGGTTTGTCCTCCAATAGATCTTATGAACAACCAATCAAAATGCGAGAATAATTTGAGTTATTATATAAAAGCTGATATCTAAACCACTTACAATCCAAACGCCCTTATCCTCTGGAATGGCGATGCTGACAAGAATGTTCTTCTGTCGTCCAATGTAGATAGATTCACTCATACCCTCCCTGTGCTGGGACGTGCCTACGGCTCTGCAGCCGGACACGTGAGGGCAGTAACGGAATGTCAGCAAGGTGGAGGCGGCGTTCTGTCCGCTGACAACAACTTTGCCAAGGAATGAGAGGAAGTTGGGCTGGTAGAAATGAACGATGACGTAGTAGCGTCCAGTACCCGCGCTTCCAGCCACGTGAACAGTTTTCTGAAAAAAAAGAAACCAAATGAAAAACATTGTTTAATATAAGACAGAATGTATACTCTTCCGCGGGTTGGCCCATTGAATTGTTGTTGCTTTCTGTGTATTGAACAATCTTTATTTTAGCATTGGCTTAACCTGTTATGATACCATAACAGCGACCGAATCGGGCTGGAGAAAAGTGGGTTTGAAATGACTTTCGCGTAAGGAAAACGTCCAAGATAATCACTGCCCCAGTCACTTCGCCTACAAATGACGTTATTAAAAATGCGGGGAAATTTGGCATCAGCCAATCGCAATTGCTTTTAGATTTAAATCGCATCACCTCAGCTTTGCATTAAACCTGAGTAAAATCGTGTCTCATGTGAGTTTGAACCAAAATACAAATCTCGGCAAACGCAAATCAAGAACTACTATAAATTCGGCATAGAAAACCCTCTCAACAAACATCAAATATTCTTTCATGACATCTACTCTTATTGCTCTTATATTAGCATTTACCTCTCCTACTTTCAAATGTTTCAAGCTCGCTCTGCGGTCCATAATGTAATAAGGAGCCCTATCGCCACCTTTAAACCGATTTTCAGCCTCGATTCTCACCGCATCAGTAGGGGTGGGGTAAGCTGACTGAATGCACGAGAAGCCATTACTGATACACTGTTCTGCTGGAATCAAAAATTGCTCCTTCCATTTGGAGAGTGGGATAGCACTGATAAAGTCCTAAAGGAAACGAGAAATGCTAGCCATGTCTTTTATCCTAAAATCATAGATATCAGGAAATACTTTACTTTTATGGATTCGAAACATATCTTCAAGACACCTTTTGGTATTATTTGAAGCAATTTTATTAAAATCGTGTTCAACGTTAACTGTCGGTTCATCTACTATTACGATGCAAAAAGTATAATTTAAAATGCTTTTACGCTTTACTCGAGATCAAACATACAGATTCTTTTATTCCTGTATATTCTTCTTCCCATACGCCGTAGTTTAAGGTGTTGGTGTTAGCTTTTTCAAATCACATTTGGTTCGCGCAAAATTCACGTTTTACCGATTTTCAATCTTTTGTTTATCGTTTCCACGGAAATATCGATTGCCTTACGAAATACATTATACCAAACTTCAGTCCATTTCCAATGACTGGTGCAATTTTTATATCGATCCGAGTAAGGAAAGACTGTTCAATAGCTGATTGAAAATGCTTGGTATGGTCCAGGTAAACTGTATCGAGACACCGGCTTAATAATGTAGACATTTAGCTCACCAAAGCGATGGTTAATGTGGTTGTTAGACTGACAGTGGTGACGTCGTTTTCATTTGCAGTGAACACGCTAACTTGGTGTTTCTCGTCTATGGCTACTTCACGACAGCCAAAACGATATCTGGAAAATTCAAAAAGAAAAAGCAAAACCTGATTAGGTGAAAACTCTTGTCAGTTACACTTGACTGTAACTAGCCTAACCCTAACTCTAACCCCAACCTTCACTAGAGTAATATTTGAGTGACTTGTAGCGGCTGCGCAAGAGCTAGAACAGGTGCGCGAGCCCGCGCGCGATTATAACCCGAGTGTCCGCTGCTTAAACTAGATTGTAAAGACCACCCGAAGGTAACCACCACCAAAAGCCTCTTAATTCGAAACTTAGGTGAAAACGTTTCTGGAGGAGAAAAATTGTGAAAGATCAGAACTAACTTGGACAAAGAAGAAAGAAACTGAGACTCGGAAGAAACTGAGAATCTTACCTGCATGAGAGAATGCTCATGTAAGCTTTAAGAGTGTTAAAGGAAGTTCTGACAACTACACTGGAAATTCCTCCATAATCGGCGTTGTGAAAGTAGCTTGCTAGCAATACAAACTGGCCTTGTATTTTAGACGGCAGACGTACAGACATCACGTTCTAAATGAAAAATAAACGATAATTAGAGACGGAAGTTAATAGACCACAAATAGTCTCTCGTTTTTCTCAGGGTTAGTTGAGGGGCCAGCTTGCGCGCAAAAATCACCTCGCGCGACGAGACGCGAGGGTGCGTGCTCGCCCACTTGACTAACCCTGAAAAAAAAGGAAGGGAATACCCACGGGATAACTGCCCAGAACCCGAGTCGTCTACGCAGGCAACCCGCTAATTCAAGCAAATATGACTACCCATGCTTATTACATATCTACAACACGGTTATTAACAACAATAAAGGTACAGTGGTAATGAGAGTTGAGGAACTAAATTTCATGTGATCTAAGGGAAAACGCCAAAATTGGTCTGAATATGCTGAAGAGCGTGACTTGTAATGCTCTTGTTGTTTCACGCTGTAAGTAATATATCAAACACGAGAGATGGTGTTTCATCACATTTCCGGACAACGAGAAGAGAATTTAAAATACGGCGTGCAGCGGAACATTGTTGATAGACTTCGAAATGTGATTAAACACTGACTTGAGCGTTTGATGTATCTTCTGGAGGAGGAGTAAACGAAGAACATGATATAAAATCGTTATCTAAAATCTACGCTGATTAGGATCATAGATCCAAACCACCATCAAAGCTATGATTTTCTTTCTTTTAAGGATTTATTTTAATAAATTTGACAAATGTTTTCTTTCCGGTTAGATAGCATGTACAATAGCAGTATATCTAGAAATTCAACTCCTTTTTTAAGAAGCCACTTACTCGTGAACCACTAAGTATCAACCCTTGAAACGGAATATCTGTAACTCGCGTGTTTCTTTTTATTCCACCAACAACAGAACTATCCTCAGCCTGTATGGTCACAAACCCCTCTTGTTCGAGGTTGGGGTAGGCGAAATGAGCACAATGCTTTTGATCTCCCCTCAGTTCACAAGGACTGGAAACTTGCACTTCGAGGTTCTGAGGTCTGTAGTATTCTTCTGGTAGAAGCACCATGTAATCCTTTGATGAAAACAGATTCTCCTTACTGGTTTTGTTATCTCTCGTATCATACTAAATAGGAGAATTTAATTCTGTATTACAAAGACTAAGTACCTGGTGATAACTAAGTTACTACACTCTTCCGTTTGGAAAAAAGAATGTTTTTAAAACATTGCAGCCGAAAATTTTGTTCGGAATACAAGCGACGAAGACCAAAAGCCTAGGCTAAATTTTCAAGACGTCATGGTAAATATTATACACTTAGGGCCCCTACAAAGGAAAACATTGTTACGGAATACTATTTCCATGAATGATTCCCCTTTTGCGCGCACAGGCCACGTTTTTCGCGAAATATATGTTTTTTCGGAGAACCATTTTGCTTCCATGATAGAAAGACGTAAATAACTTACAAGCGGCTTTCGACACACGTCTCTGACACGTGTGCCGAAAGCTGCTTGTAAGTTATTTAGGTCTTTCTGTCATTGCTTCTAAGGCTTTCCTGGCTCAAATGGTTTCTATTCTATCCATTTTACTTCGTATCTGTAACAAATATTCCCTCGTTGCGTACCAAGGAAACCGCAACAATTTTTCTTTGGTTGCAGAGACCTTAATAAAGTCGAATTCGTGCAGCGACATTTTCCTCCATGTAGGGTTATATCAAGATACCAAGGGTACCGCTGACATTTCACGCTACATACCAACAACAGATCAGAAGCAGGGGCGTCAATTGATAACTTCCATTTTCCCTGACTCAGCAAAACTTGTTGTGTGTCTCCCCAGTTATCTCGGACCACAAGGAACTGAGCAATAGCAAAGATCCACGTGGCCGTGGTGCGGAACCGAACATCTAACGTTTGCTCTGTTGCAGTGCCTGACGGGAACGTAGCTGCAAGAACAATGATAATACAGACAAATAGTGTTAAATCCTGGGCATCAGCTCTTAAGTTTTGCTTGTACAACGTCGGGTTTGAGCAGCTTTATAAGCGGTGGAGCTTTTCTCAGAAGGGGGGAGGGAGGGGAAATTACCAGCGGGGCGGGTATGAAACACATTTCAGAATGAGTTGATAAGAAACGTGGTAAGGGTAACTTTACATACATAATTATCGAGATAAATTTCCATTTACTGGTTTCTAAATAACAATTTCTGTCAATATGGTTGGAACTAACGCAAAACTGACCTATAACTGCACTTTACTTGCATTATCATTTAACAATTTTGTTTGAAGCAGTTAAACAACGTTCTGCGTTAATTAAAGTGTGGCATTACATTCTGGGAGTCTTTTTTTCTAGTCGAAAGGTCAGCCTATAGCCCAGGTGTGGACGATCGGTGGCAACCTCTGTTAAAAAAAAATCCAGTGCTATAACGTGAAGAGAACTTACCAGAGTCAAGTGTAGGAATAAACTTCACCAAAGCCGTAACGGGGGCATAACGAGCCAGCAAGTAATGGAATATCAGCTGGTATTTACTTGTTCGAGGAACGTCAATTATTACATATATGGAAGCCTGCAGTAAAAGAAAAACCTAAGTAAATATATTACACTGTTTAAAGAGGAAGCCACTTCAGCCTTAGCTGGTTTTCATGCAGGTCCTCCATCCTGGTCGAATTGGAATTTGGATATGTTGGTTTTTGCGGGAGGGAGCAAAACCGGAGAACCCGGAGAAAAACCCTCGAAGCAAGGCGAGAACCAACAACAAACTCAACCCAAATATGAGACCAGGCCCGAATCGAACCCAGCCACATTGGTGGGAGGCGAGTGCTCTCACCACTGCGCCATCCCTGCTCCCCGCAAACAAACGAAAATAACGTAATGACGAATAAACGACTGATTTATGCTTTAGCGTACGTCATGGACCTTTAGAATATAGCTGCTGTATTCCCGCTATTGGAGCTGATTGAGCGTCTCTCCTTTATAGATGCACGGCTGGAAATTATAGAGCACGTATGTCACGGATGTGTTGCCAGCGCAATCACCTCCTCTTCGCAGGTTAAAATATTTTCACGTTTTTATGCTGTATTCTAAACCAATTGGTCAAGGTCATGTTCCTATATTCCTAAGAAAATGATGCACCTTCGAATTCTAGAAAAAAAACTGTTGAAGTCACTCGCGTTTCGTTCGTGCGTCCACTGGCAGTTTTTCTAGACCTCAAGCGCGCATTTTCTTTCTTAGAGAACATGGAACGCCATCGTCTATTTGGTAAATGATGCACGCTTAGGTATCCTGATTCTTTGCTAGCTATGTTATAAAATAACTTGACATCTCCTTTCCTTATATATCCTCGCCCTTATCTTGTTGGTTTTGTAATTTTGTAACTGTAGTTAGAGTGTCCCAATTAACGCCTGTGCTTCACAGGTGCTAGATTCTTTAGACACTGAAATATCGTTATTATTTTTATTAAATGAATGATACGCTAATGACCTTAGTGGTATTACCTGAACCTGTGAGAAAACTGCATAACCTCGCCTAGAAAATCCAGGAAACTCGCTTTCATCATATCTGAAGTAAGCCGGCTGATCGTTCAATGACGTGAGGGTGTCTTCCAGTTCGATTTTATACTGATGAAGAGTAGGGTAGTAGTAATCGTCAGATACAACCCTATTAGGATCAAATAACAGAATAAAATTAAAGAAAAGTGAAAAAAAATTACTAAGTGAAACGTGAAACAAAGTTCTCAGCTAAGGAAAAACCAATTCACCAAATAGTGACTAAAAGCGCATTCTTAGATTTGGAGTCATAGAAGCATGAAGACTGTTGAATATCAACGATAACTAGTGTTTTGAGGTAAAGATCGGGGGTGTAATGTCTACTTTCTTTGATGAAGGGCTAACACTCAAAATGTTTTCAACGCATAAGACTTTTAAAATTTGCCACAACGTTTAATTTCCCTTGCCAATTATGTGTGTCAAGTAACATATCACACACAAAAGACGGTGTTTTACCACATTTCCAAACACCGAGAAGAGAGTTGAAATTTTATGTCACCATGTTACTGTTAAATTGGAGCAAACTTCAAAAAGATTGATGTAACATATTAAACACGGAAGACCGTGTTTCACCACATTCCAATCACCGAGAAGAGAGTTGAAAATACGACGCGTAGCGGAGTATTTCAGACGAAATTCAAGGTGTTTGGAAATGTCCTCAAACACAGTCTTTCGTGTTTGATATATCTTCTCAATCGAAACTTTAACTAAGCTGAAAAAGGAGTTATAAAATCGTTAAAATCTATGCGAATTAAGATCAGATATCCAAACACCGTCACGGTCATGATTTCCTTTGTTTAAACTTCATGAATTATCAATGAGTTTGAGAAGTGTTTGCCGACGCAGCAAAAAATTTCTTTGCTTTGGTAACTAATCGTTTAATTGCAAGACTCGAGTCAGCCTACCTGTCACATTGGGATCCACCGACACCCGGTAAACATGAACATTCCCCGGTGATTGCGTTACACGACTGGCTTACAGAACCACCTGCGTTACACGAGCAACCTGCAAAAATAATCAAACAATAGAGTTTGTGACACAAACATTATTATGTATTTTGGGGCCCGTTTCTCGAAGGTCCCGATAAGTTTTCGCACCCGGAAAGCCGCAGCAAAATTTCGAACCTTATTTTTACCGAGCTGTTTGATTCACGTATTCTTAATATGAACAGAGGTTCTCTTCATNAGAGACCCCAATGGATTTCGAGTCCATCGCCTTAACCACTCGGCCATGACTACCTTGTCGACATAAAGCGAAGTAGAAAATCGATTTAAAACTCTGTCAAGAAGATTTAACCACGTTTGAATTACAGCGTTGTTTTAGTCTGGGTCTAAGGACACAGTGAAGAAAAAAAAGAACACACACACACACGCTCTTTTTAAAGCAAGAAACAGGGGAGAGCTACCGATTAAAAAAGGTTGTAAATCCATAGTTGTCCGTCAGTAGCAGAGTGGCGCAGTGGAAGCGTGCTGGGCCCATAACCCAGAGGTCCGAGGATCAAAACCTCGCTCTGCTAGTTATTATTATTTATTTTTTTATCTATTGGAATGTTTAAAGGCGTTTTACCGCCTATTTGTACTTATTTTGCACAATCCTATTTAAGGAAAACCATGCAATTGGCACCAAACGCAGGACAACATGAGCAACAAAAATATCGATCGCCTACTAAGCGAGGGAAACCATACCCTGTGTTCGAGGATCGCCTTGTGAAGACATTGGTTTCCGAGTTTTTGGCAGGGTGTAGCTTTTGAATTTTGGATTTTCAAGTGTTATGTAACTAAAACTTCAGATTGTGTTGGCAAAATGATGGGCGTTGTCGTGCTTCAGGTCTTCCTGCTCCCGTCGGAAGTTCAAAGGTATAATGCGTTCGGACTTATTCATTACCAAATAATCAAAAACATTCTCTGTGCAAAGCCAAAATAGAAATCCGTTATTCGTAGTCGGCAGGATTCGAACCTGCGCGGGGAGGCCCCAATGGACTTCAAGTCCATCGCCTTAACCACTCGGCCGCGACTACTACAGCAATATAAAATGCAACATTTTTTCTAGTTAAATCACTCTCTCCAGAAGCTCCTCGGGTGATAAGCTTTTAACTCTCTCTAAACCTTAAGCTGGGTAATGTCTGATAATGACTATCATTTTGACCAACATACATAGCATTACTAGGTATTGCTAAGAGGGGATGAAGAGTGAGAGAGTTCATTCCCCATACAGGTCTTATTTCCAGGGTAATCCCTCTCCAGTTATTTTTAGATCACTTTTGGCTTCAGAAATCCCAAGAGGGTTTGGAAATAGCCAATCGTGTGACACGCATTTTTCTCACATGGTCAGCCCAAGCGGCTTTACACGCGTTTTCATCCTCCACAAAAACATCCACGCAACACGCGTGGTAACATTATTCGCGGATGGGCTGTATACCATATCTACAAATAAACTGAGAGGGATTACCCTTGGGAATAAATGTTTCGAATACTCAGCATGGTCTACTCACGTTTACATCCAAAGACGTTCTGGCCTTTCAAACTGTAGTAGCCTTCTTTACACCGTTCACACTGTCGGCCTGTCACGTGACTCTTACATAAACACTGTCCACTCGACTCGTGGCATGTCTTGATCGTTCCCAGAGTTCCATTGGTGTCGCAGTCACATGCCTGACAACCCAACGGGTTATTTATTTGAAGATTAAAGTGAAAGGCCTTACAGTTGTCACAGTCTTCACCTATCACGTTGTCTTTGCATCTGCAGTGGGTCTGAAGAAAGCAGAAAAAAAAAACCGTTAAAAAGATGTCTGAGGCCTTGTCCACACTACGCCGGAGAAATTTGAAAAGGCAGCTTTATTTCTACGGTTAGGTTTATCGTCCACAGTGCTCCCTCATAAAAACGGAGCTTTTTACAAACATTACAAAGACCTGGAACTTCGACAAAAGTATCTTGCTACGCGTCGTAATTTCAATTCTCTTCTAGGTGTTAGGCAAGGTGGTTAAACACGGTATTTCGTGTTTGATACATTAGAGGCGAACCATTATTTTTTTTAGGGAGCTGGGGCGGGGGGGGGGGGGGNCTAGAGACAACTTTCTTTTTGAGATGGCAGGCGAACAACAAGACTTAGATGTGTGTCTTGTGGAGTTTGTGAAAAAAGAAGATTGAAATTTCGAAAGGGGAATCTAAGTGAGAGCAACTGAAAACTGTCCTCCGTCACATTTAGTTTTAGACTGTTTACCAGTCTCTTTCTGGATTTTCTGTGGACAAGCAAATCACGCTTTCGACCTTGTCCCCAAGGCCTTCTCTGCTTTTCAAAATGGCGGACGAGCCGCTATTTTGAAAATCATCGAGGAGAAGGCCCTGGGGGCGAGGTTGATCGGGATTGGGCAATTTCCAAAACAAATTCTGCACTGCAAAAACTGATGAAAAAATATCGTGCAAGGGGAGCCATGGGAGAAAAAATCGAGTACATGCCTGTCCAGGTCCTGTTTGTGGATGTTAAAAAACATTCTTGCAGAAGCTTTTGCCCACCAAAAGACCCATGCACAACCTAAAGGTGATAAAAAAATTCATGCCACAGAACATTGCCCCAACCCACCATCCCTCAAAAAAATAATGGTCCGTCCCTTAATTAATAAAATGAATTTGTTTAAGAGAACTTTGCACTTTCCCAATGATGTTATATCTTACATTGTTGACAGATCCACAGCCGTTTGTTTGTCCTGGCAGTAATTTGATCCCAGCTGGGTTACAGTTGCACGCCTTGCACCTTGGGAAATCGTAGAAGCCGATCCTACATTCATTACATTTTTGACCTTGGAAATTTCTCCTGCATTGGCACTGGCCATCTCTTGAACGACAGAACGTGCTTAGCGATCCAAGATTGCTACAGGCGCATACTAAATGACAGGAAAAAAGGCCGCCATTAGTTACGTCTTTCTTTCAATACAGTCGTTTCTAGTCTCGATCTTCCAGCTGCCTTGTTATTTTGAACAAAGTTTTGAGGGTAGCAAAGGGGGGAGGAGGGGGAGGGGCTGCGATCCCGTTTCACACACCAATATTAACAAAATTCACAGACACTTTCATACTATTAGCAATGGTCTTTTCACTGATAATTCACGAATCAAGTATATCTTTGAGTTGCTTTTGTCGGGTTCAACACGATTTGGTGCCCTCATGACGAGTCACACTTAAACCCTTTGCTACCCTCAGTTTTTTCAATCCAAGAAAAGAAGTTTGCTGTCAGCCTGAGATTGTTTACGATACGATGCCACTTTTTCAGGCAAGACGACCTTTGCTAGTATTTTCTTCGGTAGAGAGAATCCAACAAGCTTCGGCCAGATTGGCCGCCACATTCTATCAGGGTAGGGGTGGGGGTACCGTTAGCTCAGCTAAGAAACCGATGAAGATTGAAAAGGACTTTAAAATGGTCTATATTTCTTCAGGCAGGAATCAATGCGTGAAAAAGACTGGCACATTTTTAACCTGTGGATTGCGTGAGCAATCTACGGGTTTTAGTGATGCAGATTATGACAATTAGGAGTTTGGTCGTCCATATGTCCAACTATCTGTGAGATTATTTAACGTGGTCACTTACACTTGCAGTCTGGGAATCCATAGTAACTAGACGATACACATCTATCACACTTGTATCCTCCAAATCCTGACTTACAGCGACACTTTCCGTACGAAGTACAAGTTTGGGACACTGATCCCATCTCGTGACAGCCACATCCTAGAAAATAACAAGACAAAATCCTCTAGAGAATGTAAGAATGTAATGTAACTTAAGCCACAAGACAAGAGTTGGAAAAACTAAATTAAACTTCATTCTTCATCCAACCTCCCCTATTTAATGTTGAACTTCTAGAAACCGTATTCATTCAGAATTGTATAGTGTATTGTATGGTACGAATAGATAGGAGACGTTGCTTAGCAACATGACGTATTCTCAATGACGTCATGATGATGTACTTAATGGTATCAAGCTGATTTGGTTGCTTATTGGTTTTTTTGGGTTACATACTCAGAATCAGAAGATTCCCAATGCTTGCTAGAGGAAGACTTAAAAAATTTGAACCCCTTTCTTCAGACAAGCTAATGAGCCACTGGAAACTACTTACGCCTGCAGCGTGGAAATCCAGAGTGACCAAGCTTACATCTGTCGCACTTCCTGCCGACCACATTTGTCCGACACAAACACTGCCCACCGAACTCATCACAGGCTGTGGATCTAGAGCCCAGGACATTGCAATCGCACTTCAAAGGTTCTTCATTGAAACGAATCGTCAAAGAAAACACGTCCTCTCGGCACTGCCGTCCGCGAGTAGGATCAATATAGAAATGGTCCTTGCCACAGTTTTGTAAAAATTGATTAACTCTGTCATTTGACTGGAGTTCTAGGAGGCTTGTGGAGTATGAAGCCTTTGGGACCAGGAGTATATAAAACTATAAAAGGAACCCAAAAAAGCAATAGGACTTATTACATAGGCAGAGGCTCACTTGTAAAATGGTATGCAAATAATAACGCGTGTGGCTCAAATTTCTCGTTCGGATGTCTTCCAACAAAGGGCACAGAATCAGCTATAACAATGGGATACATTATGGGATACATTAAATTTGAACTGCGGAGAATTGAGCTAGCGCTATCAAGCCAACTGGCAACGGTTCACGTTGTGAGTTCGTAATATACTTAGAAGGTGAAGAATACATGACATACAAATTAAATTTTAAATTATATTTGAACTGGTCTTTCCTACCAGCTGAGTTCGTTTCTCATGTTGAATGATCGCAGTAAAGGTTCCTTTGCTGAACCGGAAAGTCAGGTTTTCTTCCTCTCCGATGACAACTCGACAGCCAGGATCGGTCGGGCAGTAATGGAAAGTGACGGAGATGTTCAGCTTTTCATAATCAATAATCGATATCTGCTCGACTTTCTTCGAGAGACTATGAGGTTGCCGATAGTGCATGATTACATAATACGATGCTGAGACGTTGACAACTTGATTGAAAAGTGTGAACATCTGAAAGAAAAACAACACGGTAAGTAATTCAAGAAGTTTAAACAAAGGAAGTCATAACCGTAACGATAACAAAGCTTTTTACCATTCTATTTAGAGGTGAATTCAAAACCCATCCATGAATCCTTGATACGTACTACAGTAATCAATACTTACCCTATCTTTACTTCGGCGCGAAAATGCAGCCGTCTGGATGGCGTCTGTAGGTATTGGATATGTCGAGGAGATACAGGATTTATTGAACATCCTACAAAGCAACTCTGGCTTGACGTACTGTGTATTCCATTTGGCTTGAGGTATGACGGTTATTGAACTCTGTATAAAAACAGAACATCAATTAGTCTGTCTGTCATTATCATCGTTGTCGCCTACATCATTGTCATTATCGTTAGTGTCATCGTCATCGCTGTCATTGTTATCCTGTCATCAAGTCTAAGATAATCAAAGTGCAGTTCTACGTGAATCAGATAGTCTGAACCGTCATGATTCGTCCGCACTGAGCGCTGTGCTACTAAATCCCCTGTCGTATAACCGCACTCCACTCGTGAAAAAGCATTATTCATAACGACAACCTTGGATGAACAGAATAAAGCTTAGTGTTTATGTCATGTTATCAGTACCATTCTCCTCCTCAACCTGGCGACCTTATAACACAATAGACCATATTCGTATTCTCGGTATTGGACTGGAACTAGCTTGCAACTGAGGCTAATGATATTCTCCCGCATGAGCCTCCATTGCAAGCTAGTTCCAGTCTAATACCGAGAATACGGATATGGTCTATCGTACGTATACTTACTACAGCAATCTTCGCCGAAGCCGAGCTTTCAATCTTAACCTCGTTAACCTCCGGTGTGGCCTTAAGTTCAAAGGCTCTTGGCCGCTTGTTGTCATCCATAGCGAACTGACGGCACGCAAACTGGTATTTGCAAGGTAGAATCTCAAGCATCCCTCGCTGATGACCCACTGTAACAAATACTCGCTGGATGAATCTCTCTGGGTGCAGGTAGGTTACCATGAGAACGTAAGGCCCGGATCCCGGTACCGTAATATCAAAACCTATCGTTGGCTTAAAAATAAATTCAAAATGTGTAAGTTTATTATGAATTGTCGACACTTGTAGCTGTCATTTGGAACGTCACTAACACCATCTTTTTACTAGCTTGCGAGAGCATTTGGTAGCCAAAAAACCGGATGCTCTCGCAGGCTATCTTTTCACAATCCTTTCCGTAAACATCATAAAGTAAACAAGTTTTAGAAAAACTGTTTCTAAGCGTAATAAACTTGTAAGTCCATAGCTTGAGTACCCTTTCTTTAAGCAGGCTATTGTCTGCGTGCTTGGAAAATCGTCGATGACTGTGTTTGTTCCTGGTTGGATTAATCTTGTGTCATGGTTTCACCTCCCGAAACCTTAAGAGGGACCTGGACATCTGCGATTCGAGCTAACGAAATCATACGGATAGCAGAGTTTGGTAGCAACTTACCGGCAAAATTCAATAACCCAACAAGTTAATTCTTCGGGTTCGTCGTTTGTAATCCGCCTTAGCCTTCGCCATCCGTAACCATCCTTGTTCCTTTATGTTTAATTATTGTCTCTTCGGTGTTTTTCTCTCTTAGTAAACTACTATTTTCAGGTTTCCTTCAATTTAAAGGTAATTTTGTACGTGGCCGAAATACCTCAAAACGCCCTGACTGATTTCCTTTAAGCCAACTAGAGGGCTAGGTATTGCTTTGCACTAAAACCACTGAAAGCGCTTTATTTTACAAACTAAGGCACAATACCTGATTTCTTCCTAGCAGTGCCATGCTCGACAGATGTGGCTCATCTAAGTTATACCGTGGATCAGTGAATATGTCGGCGAGCCCTCTGAGTGGGTGTGCGTATGCGAGGCTTCCAGGCATGGTCACGATTGAAGGACTTTTCAGGCCATAATAGGTATACATATCACAGTGCTCTGGCCTAGAGGTCCGTAACATACATGGTCCTGGTGGTATATCTTTGAGAAGGCCAGCGTTGTAATAATCTTCTGGTAAAAAGACGATGTAATCCTGCGGATACACAGACAAGCAGTATGGAATAACTACTGTAGATATACTAGTTCAATTCTTTATTTGATAACTAGTTAGCAGAGTGGCGCAGTGGAAGCGTGCTGGGCCCATAACCCAGAGGTCCGAGGATCAAAACCTCGCTCTGCTAAATATTGTTTTTATATTTTTTTTAATGGCCGTTTAGTTCGTACCGTGGATTTTCTAATCTCTCAGAAGGGTATGAGCCAAGAGTGACTTTCTTTTTCTTGTTATGTTAGAGCAACAATTTTTCTTTTTATTTCATTTGGGCAAGAAAGAACATTACATATAATTAACGGACCGTTTTTCAAAGCCACCAGTGGAAAACAGTCAAGTGCATAGTTAAATTTCAAGACAATACCTGTCAGCAGCAGAGTGGCGCAGTGGAAGCGTGCTGGGCCCATAACCCAGAGGTCCGAGGATCAAAACCTCGCTCTGCTAAAAATAATTTTTTTCTTTTTAATTTGTTATGGCTATTATATTGTTGTCAATAGATCAGAACTCGGAAATTCACATAGTATTATTGTTCGGAACGCTCTGAATTTTTTAATTTTTTTACTTTATTTTCTTTCTTGAAACAATAGCGAATAATCATTAAGACCAAACCCTAATGTTCAAAACTGTTTATAAGCACCATTTGAAAGAGCTGACTAGGTCAAATATCAAATTATTTAATCCCTTATCGGTCAGCAGCAGAGTGGCGCAGTGGAAGCGTGCTGGGCCCATAACCCAGAGGTCCGAGGATCAAAACCTCGCTCTGCTACTTTTTTTAATTTTCCCATTTTACTCTTACGAATATTGTTGGCTTATTTCCCGGAAAAAAAATTAACATCAGCTGGTTTTGGGTTACGTTTTACATTACTCAGAACTGGCTAGAACTGGAAGCAACACCAAGCTGATAAGTGATTGAAAACGCAAAAACGCAAGTTCCGACAGGCACACAAAGCGTTTTAAAACAACCATCAAGACTGTAGCCAGAAAAAAATACGACCGAGGCAATGTCCATGGTTCCATTCTCTTCCTAGGTATTTTAAAAGGGCGTTTATACTGACTATAAAAAACAAAAACGAAAAACAATGACTGAGGCAAGTGCCCCGGTCTTCCTGTTACTTGCTACGGCCCTGACCATTACTCTCAAAAACCTATCTAAATACTGAAAATGTTCAAAAATTAAGTCATTTTATAAAGCCACTGCGATTACAAATCAAAACTACGATGTCTTCTGGATTCTAAGTTTGTAAAATTCGTGATTCACACATGCATGTAAATGTTGAACTTTTCCAGAGATAAAGGGGAGAACTGTAGCGTTCTAATTCGAATTCACACAAGAATAAAAAGAAAAATTATCCTTCAACGTAGTCGACAGGATTCGAACCTGCGCGGGGTGACCCCAATGGATTTCTAGTCAAATAGAGCAAATATTATTTAGACAACAACGAACAAACTCCAGGATATGCAAGTCCCAGCTTGAGTTTTAAAAGTATTTCCAAACGTCATCCGTGAGCAGAGTGGCGCAGTGGAAGCGTGCTGGGCCCATAACCCAGAGGTCCGAGGATCAAAACCTCGCTCTGCTAAAAATCGTTTTTATTTTTTTCGTTTTAATTTGTTATGGCTATTATATTGTTCTCAGTAAATTAGGACTCGGAAATTCACATAATATTCTTGTTCGGAACGCTCCGAATTTTTTATTTTTTTACTTTATTTTCTTTCCTGAAACAACAGAGAATGATTGTTAAGACTAAAACCCAATGCTCAAAGCTGTTTATAAGCACCATTTGAAAGAGCTGACTGGGTCATATATCAAGTTATTTCAACTGTTATCTGTCAGCAGCAGAGTGGCGTAGTGGAAGCGTGCTGGGCCCATAACCCAGAGGTCCGAGGATCAAAATCTCGCTCTGCTATTTTTTTTTTATTTTCCCATTTTACTCTTACGAATATTGCTGGCTTATTTCCCGGAAAAAAAAAAATTAACATCAGCTGGTTTTGGGTTACGTTTTACATTTGTCAGAACTGGCTAGAACTGGAAGCAACACCAAACCGGTCAGTGATTGAAAACGCAAAAACGCAAATTCCGACAGGCAAAGTAAAGCGTTTTAAAACGACCATCACGACTGTAGCCAGAAAACATTACGACCGAGGCAATGTCAATGAAAAAATTATGACTGAGGCAATGTCTATGGTTTCATTCTCTTCCTAGCTATTACGGGCGTTAAAGATGACTATAACAAACAAAAACGAAAAAATATGACGGAGGCAAGTGCCTCGGTCTTCCTGTTACTAGCTACGGCCGTCACCGTTACTCTCAAAAACCTATCTAAATACTAAAAATGTTAAAAAAATGAAGTCATTTTATGAAGCCACTCCGATTACAAGTCAAAATCATATGTTGTCTTTTGGATTCTCAGGCTATAAAATTCGTGATTCACACTTGCATGTAAATGTCCAACTTTTTCAGTGATAGTGAGGAGACTCGTAGCGTTCTGATTCGAATTCACACAAGAATAAAAAGAAAAGTTATCGTTCAACGTAGTCGGCAGGATTCGAACCTGCGCGGGGTGACCCCAATGGATTTCTAGTCCATCGCCTTAACCACTCGGCCACGACTACCTTCACAAATAAATGTGAAGTAAAACGATTTAAAAGGTGTTCAAGAGTCTGACCAAGACTTTTACCAAACTTCCCATGGCCAGTGAGCAGTTAATCGTATCTTCTTCAGTCAGTTAGTTCTACAATTTTATAACTTTGCCACATCAAATGGTTTGTATTGATCGTTTTTAAACCCATCCTTAGTGCATTAAACCATTTCTGGGCTCTCTTTTGCCTCTGCTTGTATACGAAAGCTGATGCAAAACCACCTGTTTTAATAAATTCTTGGACAAGCACCACTCTTCGCTTCTTAAAACAGCTTACCATAATAGAAAAATCTGCTGGACAGATCTCGAAAAAACAACTAGGTATTTTCAGGCAAGAAAGAACATTACATGTCATGAACGGCCACCAGTGGAAGACAGTCAAGTACATAGTTAAATATTTAAACACAGTATCTGTCAGCAGCAGAGTGGCGCAGTGGAAGCGTGCTGGGCCCATAACCCAGAGGTCCGAGGATCAAAACCTCGCTCTGCTAATCTTTTTATTTCTTATTCTTTTTTCTCTCATTCAGAGTCATATCTTGTAAAAATTATCCGAAACTAAGTCTTTGGAATTCCAACGAAGATCCTTAGTAGGGATAATATGATTTTTCTTTTTTTCGGCTTTTCTTTTTGAAAAAAACTGAGCAATTATTATTTAGACAAGAACGACCAAACCCCAGGATATACAAGTCCCAGTTTCGAAAGCTATCTGGAAAAGATTCAGTTTTAAAAATATTTCTGGACGTCATCCGTGAGCAGAGTGGCGCAGTGGAAGCGTGCTGGGCCCATAACCCAGAGGTCCGAGGATCAAAATCTCGCTCTGCTAAAATTGGCGCAATATTGTTTTTCTATTTATGTTTTTTTTTTTTTTTAATTTGCCTTATCCTTAGGGCGTAGTTGTCACCATTATCATTTCTGTCCGCAATAGTTGGCGTCAAGAGTTAGGTTAGGATGGCACATCAAGAATATACAAAGGAAATCACGACCGTGACGGTGTTTCAAAAGCTGATCTTTTTTTGAGCATAGATTTTTACGACTTTGTTTCTCCGTTTTATTCTTAGTTTTAGTTTCGTTTGAGGAAGTTTCATAGCCCCAGTATCTTAAGATTTCAGACAAAATTGACCCAGTATAGAAACACACTTGGTAAGGGGCTGTAAACTTTAACAGTTCAGTCAACTTACCAGCAAGAGCATAGAGCTGTGTGATGTAATGATAACGTTCCAGACACCCTTCTCCAGCTGGAATTCTCTGTTTACTCCTCTGCTGTTCACGGTGGTCCTCAAGCTCTTGGACTGTTGTTCATTTGCTGGATAGAACTGCACCTCGAAGTTGAGTGACGTTATCTTCGAGCCTAACACAGAACAATGTTATCTAAGTGGCACTGTACTAAAATAACGTGATTTTCAACTTGAGTGCTAATTAATAATTAGATTGTGAGCTCGAGATTTCTATGAGCTGATATTTGATGAGGGCGTAGGCCGAATCAACTATCGCCTCATAGAAATCGAGAGCGAATAATCTAATTGTTTTAGTAGAATTGTAACTGAAATTTCCTTCAAATAACGATTCCAATTATTTCTGGTCTCCGTATTAAACTTAACTCTTTAGAGAATTCGCGCGGACTGAATTAATTGTCAGTTTGACATTTGCAGTTGTGTACGCGCGCTTACCAGTTTCTTTAAAAAAATTCGAGCGTTTTTAATCCAAGAAACCGTAAATGCACTCCTTTTAGTTTTCTGAGAAATTTTGTTTCTTTTGTTTCTAAATGTTCTTTCAAAACTTCGGAGAAACAAGGAAACGTTGCAATTTTGTTGACCACACCAAGCCACTGCATACTAATGGCTGATCGTATGCAATGGTTCAGCCAATCAGATTACAGCATTTGCATCAGTATACTAGTAGAATTCTACTAATGTTTAATTATACACTTATACAATTATACACTAATGTTTAATTAAACACTTAAATTTTTACCTCGCGGATGAAGGCCGACTTTAGCAGTAGTGCGTAAGTTATCTCGAAGCGCGTAGTGGAAAATGACATGGTACTTGCGAGTCTTGGGAATGTACACGGCAACCCCATAATCCTAAAAATAGAAATAGAAACCAAATTGGAAATTAAATAAACCATGCCCTGAAAAACATCAAAAAGTCCTCAGTACACATAACCTAACGACACAAGGAGGACGAAAGAAATTTCCCTGATTAAGACTTTACCTTACATAGCTCACGCTTCATAACATCTGCATATCGGTCACCAGGGTTAAATATCGGCTGTTCTTTTCTACGAGTGTTGCGCATGACCTTAACGAGGTGAGTATATGATATGTATCATTCAACCAAGCGCTCGTCTGTCCGAAAGTCCTTAGTTAGTTCTGACTTTCGAATCTATCTCTTGATTGTTTTTTTCCTTTTCTTTTCCTATCAAGCATTTTCATCAGCAAAATTTAATGAGCCTTCTACAACCATGGAGATTAAATACAATACCTTATACGCTGGAAAACTTGCGTATCCAGTCCCCGAATAATTAGGAAATACATCCTCGTCCGCGCCGGTGGGGACCCGGGTTCTAGTGTTAGACGTCAAAACAGCTCCTTCTAACTCGGCGAAGATGTGATACAAGGTTGGAAAGTAAATTGCTCTGGACGAATAGAGACTACGGAGGAAATAAAAAGCGACAACAGTGCGGTCTAATTGAGGATAGATCTCAATCAGGGTTTGCTCCACTCGGCAAGGAAAGTTATACTGTTAGTAATGTTTGCAAAAAATTCTATCTCTCTCGGGGTAAATTGCTATTTCGTTTTACCGTATGGTCACAAAAGTTTGATGTTTAAAAAAGTTAAAAGCACTTGGTCAAACTTGCCGAAGTTCTGAAATATCTCGGCTATAAATAAGTGGTGGCAATTTTAGATTACGTCTTTGAACGTTAGAGCCAGAGTTTCTCCACGACCGAGCACAACATTTGCTAAGATACGAAAAGGAAAGAGAGGCTAAAAGTAAAAGGAGGGAGGAGAGGGAAGGGTAAGAATTCTCACCTGTTGCACTTCCTTCCTTTGACACCAGAGACACATTGACAGTCTCCTAAATGTTTAAAACAGTTTCTGCTGACTGAACCACCAGGATCACACTTACAGGCTGTGAAACAAGAACAAAGGAGTACAACAGAATCAGAGATTGAAAGCATCGCGAACTAGCTACGCTCCGGGCAGAGTCACAAAGAAATACTATAGCTTATTCTGGCTTCTGAAGCATTAAGTGAATAGGAGTACTGCGTGAGGGGACCACGCCCCGTGGATGGGATGCTAGTCCATCGTAGAGTACCTCCGAGCATTCTGTCAGTTTGCCCTGACAGTTCGCCGGTGCCCATTTATACTCTCCTGGGTGGACAGAGGCATTTACCGGTTAGCAGTCAAAGTGCTAACCATAAGTTTCATATCTAATGTAGTCTCAAGTCTAATGTTAAAGACCGAAGATTTTCCTGATACACCGGCAACAAACATTATATAAAGAAGCCTATGGCAAATAGTAAAGGAGACGGAATTTTCCAATCTTTTTGGGGAAAGAGTTGACACATTTCTCTGGAGGTAAATAAACATCTCACCTTTACAACCAAAGATGTCTTGAGACCTCATTCCGTGGAAACCATCTTGGCAGTTCTGACACTTTTTACCTATCACGTGATTCTTGCAGTCGCATCTCCCACTTTGCGCGTGACAGTTTCGTGTTCCTGACACAGTGCCACGTGCCGAGCAGCTGCAGGATGAACAGCCCAAAGGATTGCTGCCGCTGAAGTTGTAGAAACCGTGCATGCAACGATCACATGTCCGACCGACCACGTTGGGTTTACACAGGCACTGATACTGAAACAAGGAGAAAACGGAACGAAATCAGTTATTTTCCGAACTAAAATAGTTCCAGACTGGGTAACTAATTTGTGGCAAAAAATCCAGAAATATTACTGAAAAATGAAAAAAAAAAACTTTAAGGCTCCATGCTACAGATCTTCCCCAACTTAACATCTTCAAATGTTACTTCTAAGATAAGTGTCTTCTTGGATTATCATTCTGAAGCATCCTTTTAAGAAAGATAATTTCGTTCATCGCATAAAGCGACTAGGGCGTGGCATCGTCGTGTATTCATCGGGGAACCACAGGGATTATACACTTAAAACAACACTCTTATTGGTAATCAGGATCACTTAGGTAAGATTCCTCGCGAACAGTTTTGTACTTGTCTTTCCCGTGCACCTGAGCGAAGAAAGACAGTGGAAGAGTACAGAATTTTGCTTAAGAACAAGACAGATGGAACATGGCTGCGCTCGGACTCTCAGCCTTAAAGTCTTAAATCCCGCGCGCTGACCATACGTCTCCAACACAGCCGCTATTTGGGTCGCGCAGTGCTCCTCATCCAGTGCGTGACGACCCTAACATCGCCTGTGCATGACACTATGTCACACACGTGTCACTGCGTATGACATGTACAGTAATCAATCAATCAATCAATCAATCAATCAATCAATCAATCAATCAATCAATCAATCAATCAAGATTTTATTTATCCACGGTTTGAACTAGCCTATCAACACGTAACACATTTACCTTAGCCGAGCCGTAGCATACGTTGTTGGCCGAACCAGGTAAGAAACGCGAGCCATCTGGGTTGCAGTCGCACTTAACACACGTGGGGAAGCCCACCATGCCTTTGTCACAGCGGTCGCAATGACTACCCCGGATGTTTGGCCTGCAGTGGCAGTTTCCAGTTGTGTAGTTGCACTGACTACTGAATGACCCGAAGGTGTTGCAGTTACAAGCTGTAAGTCAAAGGTTCAACCGAGGAAATATGTATACTTTCAGAAATATTGTAGCAAAATACACAATCTGACTTGGTTCTCGATGGACAAAATGTCCATAAATTATCCTGAAAGTGCTTCGACAGGACGAAAATCCAACGCCTTCTGTAAACCATTCCACAACAGGAGACTCGTTGGGCTTCATAATTTAACTAGGTTGAAATGTCATAATCTAACTAGGCTAAATACAAGTAGCTGACCAGCCATTGTAAAATACATTGACGTTTATCCATAAACAAGTGTTCAATTAAAGGTGGTAAGAAAGAACAAGTAAAAACGACTACTCAGTTTCTTGGGTTCCTACCCTAATATCATGAGGGACAAATTACCCCTTTCTCCGCGCCCTTATCGGACTCACCTCTGCAGTTAGGAAACCCATAAAAGTCGTTTGCACAGCGGTCGCACTGGACGCCAGCATAGCCTTCATTACAGACACATTTACCAAGCTGATTACATGATCCATAACCACTTGGTGAACATAAGCACTCTACGAAGGAAAAGAGAGAATAAGAATTACAAGGCACCAGCATTGTGTTTCAACTAGATACTTACAGTTATGTTAAAAAGGAGCATAACAAGTGCTATTTTTACGGCGTGTATGCAAACTCACCAGGCGTAAAGAGAGTTAGTCTAGTCCCTGAACTTTCCCCCCTCTCCGCGCTATGGTTGAGAGCGGGATAAGGAGAGTTTGAGCAAATGCCCCGGGGTTGCCCGGGGGGGGGGGGGATGGGTACTGCTGGAATTGACTGATGCATTACAAAGAGTTTATCAATCGAGTCTCTACGCTGACTCTATTTACCATTCCGTTTGCAATTTGCCAGGCAAAGCAAAGAAGATCGCGGGAAGAAAAGTTGTCAGCCTGCTCGACGTCTTTAGGATGGTCATCGTCCTTAGGTGTGTTTATGTTGATCTCCCTATGTTCCTTTCTAACTGGCGTCATCATGCTGTCAGACCCAGATACATCACAGGTGTGATGTGGGTCTTCATCAATCCCAGATGGCCCAGCCACTGGCAGGGGGGAGCACTGAGACTCACTGTGATCAGGATATTTGCATTCATTCTCCTCTTTCACCTTTTTTCCTTCCTTTCTGTCATCGTCACACTTTTCCTCTCCTGTTTTTGTTCCAGCTTCATGGCTGTGCCCCAAATTGCCGTCAGTTCTCTCATCATAAGAACAGACCAGTGCAGGTTCTTGTCTTGCTGTCCCAGGTTCTCCTCTTGTAGACAGGATTACCTCCATAACTTCATGGCAACACTGCTCAAATTCCTCTTCTTTCTTTTCATCATCTTTTTCTTTACCTGACGCTTTGAAAACTAACGTCTTACTCATCAACGCTACCTCTTTCACCGTGACAAAGCTATTTGGCATATTATTTTCAGTGGACACTCCTGAGGTTTTGGCGCTGCCCATCTCGCCCTTATTTGTAGCTTGTGTCAGATGTTCAAAAATTTCCCCATCGATACTGTTCTTAAGCTTCACCTACAATTGAGAGATGGCACGCATGATGAGATCATTTTAAGTTTCTACTGCTCACTCGTACCTTTTTTGCCGCAACTGCATTGATAACTATGACAGCTTGGAGTGTTACTACTCTTTAAAACCAAACAGGTTTTATTTCTAATGGCAGTGAACAACAAAACAAATAAATTAGATTCCGACACTGTTCGTAAATAAGTTATGTTTGTAAGTCA